CTGATAACTAGAAAAATAATAACGCAATATTAAATGAATCAGTACATGTGAATCTTTAAGAAGACTTTTTGGCATACTGTAAACACTATGTAAAAATTAGCTATCACTAGATTTGATATAAATTGCAAGCTTTTAGTAACCTATTTAATTTATTGCAGTACAAAATACAACTTTATTCAGTGACTAAAACCTATGTGGAAGCTTCAAAGTTTTTTCTTCCAAAATTCAGACACAAAGAATTTTGAAAAATACACACAGACTTGCTACTAAGGTCAATAACAAGGCAAGGATGTCCACTTACTGCTTCTTTTCAACATCATACTGGAAGCCCTCACTAATCCGATAAGACAAGACATATAGTTACAGAGATTGGAAAGAAAGAAAACTGTCTTCAGATGTAGACAACATTATTATCTATGTAGAAAATATAAAAGAATAGTCAAAAGACTCCTGAAACTAATAAGTGATTATAGCAAGGTTGCAGGGTACATGATTAATATACAAAAGCCAACTGCTTTCCTATTTACTGGAAATGAACAAGTGCAATTTAAGAATAAAAATAAAATACCATTTACTTTTGTACTTCTCCAAAATAAATACTTATGTATATATAAGTTTAAAGAAATGTACCAGATCTATACGAAGAAAACTACATAACTCTGATAAAATACATTACAGAAAAACTAAATAAGTGGAGAGCTATTCCATGTGAATGGATAGGACAACTCAATATTGTTAAGATGTCAGTTCTTCTCAACTTGATTGAGTGCCATCCCAATAGAAATCGTAGCAGGCTCTTTGTGGGTTTCACAAACTGATTCTTCAGCTTGTATTGAGAGACAAAAGAGGAAAAATAGATGGCAGATTATTAAAGGAGCACAAAGTTGGAAGACTGGCAATACCTAACTTTAAGATTAATTATTAAACTAAAGTAATCATGACAGTGTGGAGCTGGTGAAAGAATGGACAAATATATCAATGGAACATAATATCCCAGAAATGAAACCATACAAATATCATCAACTGATCTCTGACAATGAAGCAAAAGTAATAAAAGTGATGAAAGGGTAATCTTTTCAATAAACAGTGATGGAAAAACTAGACCTTCAAACACAAAAATAGTAATCTAGACACAGATCATACACCTTTCACAAAAATTACCTCTAGATGTATCTTTCATACACCCAAATGTAAAACACAAGACAATAAAACTCCTAGAGGATAGCACAGAGAAACTCTATCAGTTGTGGCATGGCAGTGACTTTTTAGAAACTACTCCAAAAGCATGCTCCATGAAAAAAAAAAAAATCGATTATTTAGATTTCATTAAAATTAAACATTTATGCTCTGCAATTAAAAATATCAAGGGATGACTCCAGCTTTGTTATTTTTGCTTAGGATTGTCTTGGCCATACAGGCTCTTTTTTGGTTTCATATGAAATTTAAAGTAGTTTTTTCTAATTATGTGAAGAAAGTCCATGGTAGCTTGATGGGGATAGCACTGAATCTATAAGTTACTTTGGGCAGTATGGCCATTTTCACGATATTGTTTCTTCCTATCCATAAGCATGGTATGTTCTTCCATTTGTTTGTGTCCTCTCTTATTTCCTTGAGCAGTGGTTTGTAGTTCTCCTTGAAGAAGTCCTTCACATCCCTTGTAAGTTGTATTCCTAGGTATTTTATTCTCTTTGTAGCAATTGTGAATGGGAGTTCACTCATGATTTGGTTCTGTGTTTGTCTATTATTGGTGTATAGGAATGCTTGTGATTTTTGCACATTGACTTTGTATCCTCAGACTTTGCTGAAGTTGCTTATCAGCTTAAGGATATCTGGGGCTGAGGCGATGGGGTGTTCTAAATATACAATCACGTCATCTGCAAACAGAGACAATTTGCCTTCCTCTCTTCCTATTTGAATACGCTTTCTTTCTTTCTCTTGCCTGATTGCCCTGGCCAGAACTTCCAATACTATGTTGAATAGGAGTGGTGAGAGAGGGCATCCTTGTCTTGTGCCGGTTTTCAAAGGGAATGCTTCCAGCTTTTGCCCATTCAGTATGATATTGGCTGTGGATTTGTTATAAATAGCTCTTATTATTTTGAGATACATTCTATCAATACCTAGTTTATTGAAAGTTTTTAGCATGAAGTGATGTTGAATTTTGTCGAAAGCCTTTTCTGCACCTATTTAGATAATCACGTGGTTTTTGTCATTGGTTTTGTTTATGTGATGGATTACATTTATTGATTTGCATATGTTGAACCAGCCCTGCATCCCAGGGATGAAGCCAACTTGATCGTGGCTTCAAACTATACCACAAGGCTACAGTAACCACAAAAACATGGTACTGGTACCAAAACAGATATATGGACCAATGGAACAGAACAGAGGCCTCAGAAATAATGCCACACATCTACAACCATCTGATCTTTGACTAACCTGACAAAAACAAGCAATAGGGAAAGGATTCCCTATTTAATAAATGGTGTTGGGAAAACTATCTAGCCATATGCAGATAACTGGAACTGGACCTCTTCCTTATGCCTTATACAAAAATTAACTCATGATAGATTAAAGACTTACATGTAAGACCTAAAACGATAAAAACCCTAGAAGAAAACCTAGGCAATACCATTCAGGACATAGGCATGGGCAAAGACTTCATGACTAAAACACCAAAAGCAATGGCATCACAAGCCAAAATTGACAAATGGGATCTAATAAAGCTAAAGAATTTCTGCACAGCAAAAGAAACTACCATCAGAGTGAACAGGCAACCTAAAGAATAGGAGAAAATTTTTGCAATCTATCCATCTGACAAAGGGCTAGTATCCAGAATCTGCAAAGAACTTAAACAAATTTACAAGAAGAAACAAACAACACCATCAAAAAGTGGGCTAAGGATATGAACAGACACTTCTCAAAAGAAGACATTTATGTGGGCAACAAGCAGATGAAAAAAAGCTCATCACTGGTCATTAGAGAAATGCAAATTAAAGGCACAATGACATATCATCTCATGCCAGTTAGAATGGTGATCATTAAAAAGTCAGAAAACAACAGATGCTGGAGAGGATATGAAGAAATAACACTTTTACACTGTCGGTGGGAGTGTAAATTAGTTCAACCATTGTGGAAGACTGTGTGGAAATTCCTCAAGGATCTAGAAACAGAATTACCATTTGACCCACAATCCCATTACTGGGTATATACCCAAAGGATTTTAAATCACTCTATTGTGAAGACACATGTACACGTATGTTTACTGCAGCTCTGTTCACAATAGCAGAGACTTGGAACCAACCCAAATGCCCACTAATGATAGATCGGATGAAGAAAATCTGGGACATATACACCATGGAATACTACATAGCCATAAAAAAGGGTGAGTTCATGTCCTTTGCAGGAACATGGATGAAGCTCAACAAACTAACATGGTAGCAGAAAACCAAACACTGCATGTTCTCACTCACAAGCGGGAGTTGAACAATGAGAACACATGGACACAGGGAGGGGAATATCACACACCAGGGCCTGTCACAGAGTTGAGGGCTAGGGGAGGGATAGCATTAGAAGAAATACCTAATGAGATGACACGTTGATGGGTGCAGGAGCCACCATGGCACATGTTTACCTATGTAACAAACCTGCACGTTCTGCACAGGTATCCCAGAACTTAAAGTATAATAACAAAAAAAAAAATTTAAAAAAAAAAATAGAAAATGTCAACGGAATGAGAACACAAGCCAAAGACATGGGGATGTTAGCCAGCAGAGAGGCTCTTCCTTGCTGCCTAGTTCTGTGTGTTTTGACGCAGTTGGTCAGTAGTGTTCTGTGGTACAGGGGAAGAGAGTGATGACTCCCTCACATAGTCCGCTTCTGTGCCTTGGAGGAACCTCCTCCGATTACTGACTCCGTGCCTGGGTTTATTTTGCTAGGTTTTCTGGTCCACAGGGTTCACTAAGGCAGAGGCTGGCTGGCAGACAAGACATATCCTTACCCGTTGGGTGCTGGGAGGGAGACACATGCCTGCTCCTCAACCAGCCTGCAAAACTGGGCACCTCACCTCTCAGTGACCTGAGAGTTAGGGCTCCACTCTGCCTGAGTACTGCCCAAGCCAACAAGTCCTGGTTGGCTGGGATCTGCAGGGGTGTTGTGGGTGGGGATCACCTCATCTGCTGTCCGGGTGCTTCCCAGGAGAACACAGGGTTGCGCATGCAAATAGAATTGAGGCAGAAACGAGACTGCTGGGCTGGAAGCTCTAGTGAGTGTGGTCCATTTGGCTGCTACAGGCGGGGGTGCGTGGAGCTGTCCACCCTGCCCTCTGCGTATTTCCCAGGGCAATAGGAGGCTGTGCAGCTCAGCAGATTTCAGGGAGAATTAAGGCCCTTGGGCTGGAAGCTCTAGAAGGCGTGGCCTGCTTGGCTAGGAGAGGTGGGGTTGGTCAGTCACCCCTTCCTGCTATCCAGGGGTTTCCTGGGACAAGAGGCGACACCTGCCGGTTGAACTCACTCAGGAGCAGGAAAGCAATGCTGGAAGCTCCTGAGGGCGTTGCCTGACTGCCTCACTATCTGCTCTCTGGCCAGGTATTTCCTGGAACAACAAGTGGCTGCGCCCGCCAGCTAAGTTCAGGCATACGGGGCTGCTGGGCTGGACGCTGGCGCTGAACCCTGTGCATGTGCAGGGTGGAGGGGTGGCGGGTGGCTGGGGGCTGGAGGGAGGGGAGCAATGCGACTGCCCCTGGGCACTGTGACTGCAGTCTCTACTGGGGAGATGGCACTGGTGCCTCTGTTCCTGGGTCCAAGGCTTATGGAGGTCCCCTTGGACTCGAGAGCTGCCTCTACAACATTTCCAGCGGCTCTCTGCCTCAGTTTAGAAGCTGGTGGGAGGGTGCGGGGAGGCCAGCGGGGGAAGGGGGGCGGCGGTGGGGGTCTTCCGTTCGCAGACTCACACAGGATCCCGCGGAGAGCGTGAATCCCCTCACGGGCCCCTTACTCACCCTTTCCTGTGTCGGGGAGCTTCTCCCGGCTCCGCGTTTATCCCAGACAGGCTGCTGCCCAGCTGCACGCCTCTCTGCTCTCTCTCTCTGCTTACTGCCTTGCTGGAGTCCGACATGGTTGCTTAGACATCAGCTTGTGGGGTCAGTGTGCGCCAGGCCTTTGTCTCCTCTCTGTGAGAGCAGCGCCCAGGAGCTGCTTCTAGTCCGCCATCTTGACTCAACCCCTCTTAATCGCTCTTCCTGTGTCTCCGGCTTTTAGAACTAAAGCAGTTATAAGAATACAGACGTATTCCACTCAGTCGGAGTGTTTATAAAGGTGTTTATTTTATTTATTTATTTATTTATTTATTTATTTATTTATTTATGTAATCCCTGCAGGATAATTCTAAGTTGGTTTACTATACTTATCCAATGCATTTGTCTTTTCTTTGGTACCTTTTCTCCATGTAGTTTTGTTTGAGGTAAAAGACAGACCCTCCCGGTTTTGAGGTAAAGCAAACCTTGAAAAGAAATTATTTTAAAACTGCAGACTTCAAGCTGGTATGGAAAAAAAAATCTTGTTTTTAAATTACACTACTAAAGATTTAGATTTCTTTTTTGTGTGATGGAGTATCTCTCTGTCGCCCAATTGCCAATAAATATATATACCAGGGAAGCATGCAGCACATCAAATGTAGTTAATATAGCATCCATAAACTTTTGCTTAGATGAAAAAAAACATTTAAGAATAACTTGATTATTTGAACAAGTCATAACATCAAATAACTAAATGGAAAAACCTGGGCTGTGTTTAAAAAGAATACATGTTGGGCTGGGCGCGATGGTTCAGACATGTTATCCCAGCACTTTGGGAGGCAGAGGCAGGTGGATTGCATGGGCCCAGGAGTTTGAGACCAGCCCGGGCAAAATGGCAAGACCCTGTCTCTACAAAACTTACAAGAATTAGCCAGCATTATGACACATGCCTCTAGTCCTGGCTACTCAGGTGGCTACTCAGGAGGCTGAGGTGTGAGAACTGCTTGAGCCTGGGAGGTGGAGGTTACAGTGAGCAAAGATGGCACCACTGCACTCTAGCCTGGGTGTCAGAATGAGACCCTGTCTCAAAAAACAGAAAAGAAAAGAGAGGGAAGGGAGGGAGGGAGGGAGGAAAGAAGGAAGGAAGGGCATACATGTATGCTTTGTAAATTATGCTTTTTAAAAACAAACTATTAAAACTTTTGCAACTATCTAGAAATTTTAGGAAAACGTACATATATATACCCTGTATTCAACACTACTCTAAACAGTAGTTTTACATCAGAGAACAATATAGACAGAAATTTCTACATTTACACAGCTTACATTATTGCAGGAGGTAAATAATAATACACGTAATTGTTGACTACACTTTATAATGTGCTAGAAAATGTTAAGTATTACGTCGTTGAAGTACTTGCATCTTTATTTTCCAGTATTGTACTCAAGAGACAGCTGTATATATGTTACTCCAATGGGCAATGCCTTTATTCTTTTTCAGTTGGAAGTTCTTATTCTATTGGACTATTTTTTAATTATATGAGCAACAGAAAATTCATCGGAAAACACAATCTAATTATTGTAGTTATTTTTGAAAGGCAGTATTTGTTTTACAGTCTAAGGAGCATCAGTTTAAATCTTATGAATATAATATAATGAGATGTAAAATCTGGAAATTTTTTTACACTACACAATTTTTCTATATTCAACAAAATATATTATGCCTTTATTAGAACACTATTACTTGCACATATTCAATACAATGTAGTTATTATTTTTGTATTTCCTTTTCCCCAGCGATATTAAGCACCATACTATGTCTCAGCAACATACTTATGTTTGAATGGAGTTCGTGAAAAGTAAGAGGAAATAGGGTGGAAATGAACCACTACCTGCTGATCATACTTCATTTATCTGTTTGGTGTTATGAAGATTTAAGATTCTTCAACTTAACCTCATTTCCACTATCTAGAGACATTAAGACTATTTTGCACAAAGTTGAATAACCACACACTTGATTACTTCACCAGAAATATTAAACAATGACAATCTGGAGGTGTACAAATAATGCCACTCCATAATTATTGAACTGAGATTCGTGTTATAATGCAAATAATAAGATTATATCCTCAGTTAAATTATATAAAACATGGTAACCTCCAAAAAATGTCACCATATCCACTCATATCACTAGTTTGAAAATATGTGTTTTCAATTTGATTACACAGATTATATTTTATTATAAAAATAAGTAATAAATTATCCTACAGAAAGGAATATTTTATTATTGGCACAGAGTCATCTACACAGTCAAGGAATACTACTTCATTAGTACTTAGTCATCAAATGGTTTTTGTTATTTAAAACTTCCTTGAAAATGCAATGCATTTGCTACAAAGTTTTACTAAGTTATTTATATATATATCACCATCCACTTTTCTGTATGTTCTTTAGGCACTCTGTGCTATATGCAAATGGAACACATTTTTCTCTCTGGATATTTGATTCTTTCTACTGTGGTAGACAGACCCTAAGGTTTTCAATCTCTTGGTGTTAAAAGCCTTTGTGTAATCCCCTTCTTTAGAATGTGAGCTAGACTTGTGACTTGCTTATAAACAATAGAATATGACACACATAAAGCAGTGTCACACCTGTGATTACATTACACTGTGTAAAACTGTTCTGCTAGCTCTCATTGTCCTGTTTGGTCTTTAAGAAGCAAATTGAGATGTTTTGGTGAGGGTCTGCTTATGAAAAAGGTTATGTGGCAGAAAAGATAAATGGCTAAGCACTAAAGGTGGCCTCCATTTGACAACCTTCCTGGATCCAGAGCGCTCAGCCATAGAGCTTCAAGAAAACAAATTCTACTGACAGCCTACATGAGCTTGGAAGTGAGTTATTTTGCCATTTGAGACTCCAGATAAGTGACACCCTTGATAGCAGATTGTAAGACCCATGGTATTTTTCTGTATTATGAATATATAGTTACCACTGCTTCAACAATTTGCTGTTTTTAGAATCCTGCTGAACACATAAACAAAATTATTCTTATTTGTGGCTAATGAGCAAGAATATCTATAGTACAGTCAAATAGGTGTGTACTTGTTGAGTCAAAAGACATTAATTTGAATAGATATCATCAAAATAGTCTCCCCAAATTAGGATTTAATTTATCCTTTTATCATAGTGCAAAGAATTCATGGTCCAAAGGAGATTTAACCTCCACAACCTCCCTAAGAACTCAAAGCTAGCACTGCCAACAGACAATGGATTTTAGAGACTGCCCTAGATTCATTGCCAGTGTTGTCTCTGAAAATGAGATTTAGATCATGACACATATGACACACCATTCATCTGCATGATTCATTGTCCTTCAAATAGCTCCATTTGGGGTGGGTTTATTTGATTGACAAAATATCATAGGTTTGTTGTTGAATTACAAGTAAAGTTAGTAAAGTGAATATCTACCCTGACTTGTTTCTTTAGTAAATTGTACTGCAATGTTGTATATGCCCAAAATATAAAGTTCACCAAAAAAAAATGAGGCAAATGTCCACCTTATATTAATTTATTCATTTATCTACCAAAGCAATTCTAAACCTGTTCTAGTACGTTAGTTATATATATAGACTTAGGTATGCCCCAGAGTATTACTGAATATACATATGTATGTGTGTATGAATATATGCATATATATGTGTAAATGTGTGCACGTGTCTTATTCCAACTTCTACTGGTATGACAATACCACAGACTGTGTAATTTATAAAAAATAGAAGTTTATTTGGGTCCTGATTTTGAAGCCTGGGAAATCCTAGAATATAACACTGTCATCTGTCAAGGGTCAAGCCATGGTAGAAGGTGGGATGTTGGAAGTGAGTATGTGAGACAAAGAGTGGAAGTTGGGTGAAACTCAGTCTTTTCATTAGGAGGCCACTCCAGTAATACCTAACTCACTTCCACAATACTGGCATTAATACATACATGAGGGCTCCACCCTATGAAAGAAACATTCAAACCATAGCAGTATATATATATATATATGCACATATATGTGTGTGTGTGTGTGGTTGTGTGTATACATACACACACACATATATTTGAATGAAGTCACAACAATTAAAAAGAATTGTGCCATTTACAGATAAAGAAGTTTAAAAAATAACAAGTCAGGGGGACAATGAACTTACTTTTGGATATGTGCCCAACACGTCCAAGTGAAAATGCCTGCATGAACTTGAATTAAGTTTCATGAATATAAAATTCATGAGAGAAAAAGGCTTAAGAAATTTATTTTTGATTTATGAACTTGATACTGTAGTTACAATTGATTAAAGTGAAGTCAAAAGAGTATTGTGGATATATATTGACTAAGAAAACTGCAAATATTAAACATGGTAAGGGAAGGGGGAAGGACAGGAAACCTGGAAAAAGAGGTAGAGATTTAAACAAAGTTTAAAAAACAACTAGTGTTAAAAATTATCAGCAAAGTACAATTATATGACAGGAAAATTTCCATTTTTGAAATTTGTAAGATATCAGATATTGTATTAGTCTGTTTTCACACTGCTATAAAGAACTACCTGAAACTGGGTAATTTATGAAAAAAGAGGTTTAATTGGCTCACCATTCCACAGGCTTAACAGGAAGCATGACTGAGAGGCCTCAGGAAACTTACAATCATGGTGGAAGGCAGAGGGGAAGCAAGCACCTTCTTCACATGGTGGCAGGAGAGACAGAGAGAGAACCATGGGGAAGTTCCACGCAGTTTTAAACCATCAGATCTTGTGAGACTGAACTCACTATCACAAGAACAGCATGGCGAAATCTGCCCACATAGTGCAATCACTTCCCACGAGATCCCTCCCCCAACATTGGGAGTTACAATTCAACATGAGATTTGGATGGGGACACAGAGCCAAACCATATCAGAGATATGTGCAAGAACAGTTTGAAGAGAATTAAAAGGCCAAGAACAATGCATTGAAAAGTTACTGTGCCTGCGGAAGTAAAGGAGGCAAGCATAAAGCAGTCTTTCTAGAAGTGCGCATGAGAGGATTAGCAGGGAATTAGAAAAGGTGCCAGACCAAGGGGAGGATAGCTTATTTGTTTTTCTGTATTTTGAAAAGTGATACTCTTGCATAATTCCTATGCTTAGACCAAAGTGTCCATAGGCAGAGTGAAATTAAAGGCAAAAATAGATTCACATGTGGAGAAAGGACCTGCTAGAAATGAGAAGAGAAATGTTGCAGGTGTATATATAAAGAGGGAAAAGAAACTTCCTGTTTCGGGGGAAACTTCACAGAAAAAAAAAATTATATATATTTTTAAAGCCCACACTTTCTGAGTTCAGAATGGAAATAGAAAATGACACTCTGACAGACAAAAAGGCGTGCCTGCCCAGAGATATAGAGAACATGCCAAACTTCACGTAGGGCTGCAATATGGTTTGGATATTTATCCCCTCCAAACCTCATGTTGAAATGTCATCCCCAGTATTAGAGATGGGACCTAGTGGGAGGTGTGTAGGTCATGGGGATGCGTCACTCATGAGACTTGACGCTATCCTCACAATAATGAGGGAGTTCTTACTCGGAGTTCACATGCAATCTCATTGTTTAAAAGAGTGTGGCACCTCCCCACTCTCACTCTTGCTCCCCTTCTTGCCATGTGACACAGTGGCTCTCTCTTTACTTTCTGTCATGATTATAAGCTCCCTGACACCCTCACCCAAAGCTGAGCAGACGCCAGCCCTATTCTTGTAGAAGTCTGCAGAATGTGAGCCAATTAAATGATTTTTCTTTATAAATTTCCCAGTCTCAGTATTTGTTTATAGTGACACAAATGGAATAACACAGCTATTTTGTATTTTTATTTCTTTGGACATAACTCCTTTGTATTTACCCTTTTTCATTTTTTTCTCCTGAAGAACTTTTATTTACTACATAAAATAGACACAGGCATTATTTTCTCAGAAAAAAATCCTTCTTCTCTTTTTTTGGTAACATATTAAGTAAGATAGATCCCACTCCATATTTGTTCTCCCTTTCACAATGCTGTATATATCTACTGATATATGTATATATTTTTGTATATATAACTATCTATATTTTGAAAAATATTTTGAAAAAATATTATGGAAGTTCCACAAAAAAGAAAAATAGAATTACCATCTAATCCAGCAACCCCATTTTTGGGTATATTCAAATGAATTGAAATAAGTATGGTGAAGAGATGTTTACACTCCTATATTCACTCCAGTATTACTCACAGTAGGCAATATTTGGGAGAAACGTCAGTATCCATCAGCAGATAAATACATTTAAAAATGTGATACACACAGATACACGTACACGCACACAGAGAGAGAGAGAGAAAGAGAGAGACATAGAGAGAATGGAATACTATTAAGCTTTTAAGGTTTGCAAAAAATTAAGCAAATCTGGAGGATATTAGGCTAAGTAAAATAAGCCAGACACAGAAAAACAATTATCACATGATCTCACTTATATGCAGAATTAAAAATTTGAACTCATAAATTAACAGAGTAGATTTGTGGTTACCAGAGCTTGGGGGATGGGGAGGACATTGATGGGAAAAGGGGAAATTTTGTTCAAAAGACACAAATTTCAGTTACATGAGAGGAATAACTTCTGATGATCTATTGCACAGTGAATTAACTAGAGTTAATAGTTATGTATTATATATTTCAGAGTTGCTGAGAGTAGATTTTAAAGTTTCCTCACTGCAAAGAAATGATAAGTATGTGAGATAATGAATATGCTAAATTTGTTAGTCTGATATGGTTATTCCCTAGTGCATCAAATTATTGAAGCATCACATGCTACATTGTAAATAAGTAAAATCATTTCTCGTTAATTAAAAGTAAAATTTTTTTAAATGTGAAAACTGCTTGAACCTTCAATGCTTTGCAGCCCACATTGTAGAAATAATGTAAGGTATTATTCTTATTACCGATAGGTGTTATCTAACTTGTGTATATATTTTACTCCGGGAGAAAGACATTTACCAGTAGAAAAAACAACACCGGATTTGGGGAGACTTCAACCTCTTCACTCCCCAACCTCCACTCCCTTCAGGGGTAGAATTTTTCTGAAAGGATCAGGAGAATGTATTTTCTCTGAAAAATTTTCTCAGAGAAGTATACCAAGAATGTTTGCTCCTTATACTCTACCTAGCCATCGTCTACCACAGTCATTCATCTGGACTTCAAGTCTGGCCTGCTGGGATGTAGGTCATCACCTCTACACCGGGCCACTATCAAGATCCAAAATGTGCTAAAACTTAAAGTCACTGCTATATTTGGTAGCAATCCAAAGTGGACCAAAACATTCCCTAAGTAATGCCAAGGTCAAAAAGATGATGTCGATATGTCAAATTTTGATCTCTGTGAGTGGGTACTACTAAATAGAGAGTTGTTATAAGTAGGATAAGAGAAGAGCTGTTGGTTGTTTCATCAAAGCAAAGAATATTAAGGAAATTAAAGTAAGCTATCAACAAGGACATGTCCTGTTTAATTTGTAATGTTTTCCTCAAATATGTTAAGTGTTATCCTCTCCCTAAAAGAAGAAAGGACCCTGCCTCTTTATAAAATTTATAGGATGGTACAATACAAGGCTAAAAAATGTCCTAGTAGACCTGTTTTTTAAAAAATATTAATGTGCCACCTTAGGCAGAAGGAACATGATCCTGGAGGGAAGCATAAGTACGCAGACAGAAATAAAGAACAATAGGGATGGTAACAATACAAGTAAATCAATATTAACTTAAGAAGAAAAGAACCAGGTAAGCGCCCATAAGTGTTAAATGTATAGAGAAATAAAAATAATTTTTAAAATCACATAAATGGTGAGAGAAGTAAACTGTTTTAAGGTCATAATATTATATGACAAGTTGTAAATTTTATTTATACATGGGTATAATATGTCAAGAATTCATGTTGCTGGGATAATAGAGTAGTTAAAAAATGTATATTGATAGTAACATAGGAAAAATTGGAATTTAAAAAATCTTGGTTAATCCCAAAGGAGGTAATATAGTAAAGAAAATAAAAGAGTTGAGAGAAACAGTAAAGGAAAACAGTATACATAAACTCAAATATAAGAAAGGAAACAATGTATGTCAACAAACAAAATATTTCAATTAAAAGGCAAAAATTATCTTTTCTACTTTTAACTTCAATTTAAAAACACACACATGGTAAGTGAAGGGAAAAGGGCAGGAAACCTGGAAAAAGAGGTAGAGATTTAAACAAAGTTTAAAAAACAACTAATAGTGTTAAATATTATCAGCAAAGTAAAATTATATGACAGGAAAATTTCTGTTTTTGAAATTTGTATGCTATTGGATATTGTATTAGTCTGTTTGTTTTCACACTGCTGGAAAGAACTACCTGAAACTGAGTAATTTATGAAGAAAGAGGTTTAACTGACTCACAGTTCCACAGGCTTAACAAGAAGCATGACTGAGAGGCCCCAGGAAACTTACAATCATGGTGGAAGGCAGAGGGGAAGCAAGCACCTTCTTCACATGGTAGCAAGAGAGAGAGAGAATGAAGAGGAAGTTCCACACGGTTTTAAACCATCATATTTCATGAGATTGAACTCACTATCGTGAGAACAGCATGGTGAAATCTGCCCTCATAATGCAATCACTTCCCACCAGGTCCCTCCCCAACACTGGGAGACACATTTCAACACACAATTTGGATGGGGCCACAGAGCCAAACCATATCAGATATATGTGCAAGAACCGTTTGAAGACAATAAAAAGGCCAAGAACAATCCATTCAAAAGTTACTGTATCTGCGGAAGTAAAGGAGGCAAGCATAAAGCAATCTTTCTAGAAGTGCACATGAGAGGATTAGCAGGGAGGAAGAAAAGGTGCCAGACCAAGGGGAGGATAGCTTATTTGTTTTTTTGTATTTTGAAAAGTGATACTGTATAATAATTCATATGTTTAGAATAAAGTGTCCATAGGCAGAGTGAACTTAAAGGCAAAAATAGATTCACATGTGGAGAAAGGACCCACTAGAAATGAGAAGAGAAATGTTGCAGGTGTGTATATAAAGGGACAAGAAATTTCTCGTTTTGCAGGAAACTTCACTGAAAAAAAAATTATATATATATTTAATGGCCACAGCTTCTGAGCTGAGACAGAGCCTGTAATCCCAGCATTTTGGGAGGCCAAGGCGAGTGGATCACGAGGTCAGGAGATCGAGACCAGCCTGGCCAATATGGTGAAACCTGTCTCAACTAAAAATGCCAAAAACTAGCCAGGCATGGTGGCATGCACCTGTAGTCCCAGCTACTCAGGAGGCTGAGGCAGGAGAATCGCTCGTACCCAGTTGGCGGAGGTTGCAGTGAGCTGAGATGGCACCACTGCACTCCAGCCTAGGCAATAGAGGGAGATTCCATCTCAAACAAAACAAAACAAAACAAAAAAGACAACACTGAGGTCTATTGGAGGGTGGAGGGCAAAAGATGGGAGGAGGGAGAGGATCGGGAAAAATAACCAATGGGTTCTAGGTTTAATACCTGGATGTAACAATCTGTTTTCACACTGATATTTAATATAAAGAAATACCCAAGACTGGATAATTTATAAAAGAAAGATGTTTAATTGACTCACAGTTCCACATGACTGGGGAGGCCTCAGGAAACTTATAATCACAGTGGAAGTTGAAGAGCAAGCAAGGACCTTCTTCACATGGTAGCAGAAGAGAGAAGTGTAAGCAGGGGAAATGACAGATGCTTATAAAACCATCATTTCTCATGAGAACTCACTCATTATCACAAGAACAGCATGGAGAAAACCATCCCCATGATCCAATCACCTCTCTCCCTCAAGATGTGGGGATTACAGGTCCCTCCCTTGACACATGGGAATTACAATTCAAGGTGAAATTTGGGTGGGGACACAGAGCCAAACCATATCACTGGGTGATGAAATAATCTGTACAACAAACCCCTATGACTCAAGTTTACTATGTAACAGACCTGCACATGTACCCCTGGAAAGTTAAAAGAAAGTAATAAATACATAAAAAAAAATGTAACCTCTCCATTATTCTCAACAAATATCATCTTTCTAATGATTTGTTGTTTATTCTTTTTGCTATGTAGATTTCCAAAGATATGATAAAAAGATTTATAAAAGATACAGTAACATGATATATTTTTAATGACAAGTGATACTGATATTCAAAGATTTTCACTCACAGTAGACTCAAGATAATAAGAATTCAATTTCTTGGAACTATGCAGATTCCAGTTTCCCACAAGAAAATGCAATTTTTACTATGAGGCTTGCACCATGCATGATGATCTCACTTTGGCCTGTCTCTCAGTCACTGCACGCTTGAGATTCTGGCCATGTTACCTACTCATCACACATAAGTAACTGGCATAAGTAAAATAATCCTGACACAGTACTGAAAATTTACTGTGTGCCTGGAAGAATCAAAGGTCAATATTTTTGTCAGGCCATCCCTGAGCAAAACCAAATTCAACCCTGCTGGGGATTTATTCTGTTAAGCTTTCTCATTATCTTTTTCTAAGCTCTGCCTTGAATCATTGACCAACTCTTTGGTGCTCATGCTTTGTCTGACTTATCAGATACCTTTAACAAAGCCTGTTAACTTTATCCCTAACCATATTTTAAACCTACACTTTTATTTTGTGGAATTAAAGTAATTTAGTTCTTCTAAATATGGACCACTTGCTGATTTCTTGTTCCTGGAATCTTCTCTATATCCTCCATCCTCTGTTTTGCTGCCAGAGTATTCTTGGTTACACAAGTTCTATTCATCATATTTCATCCTAACTTGTCTCACATTATCTTTTTGTCTGGAAAATAAATTTTAAAATTCTTTTTTCCTGAATATGGTTCTCTTCATATCCGCTTTCAGTCTGCTTTCCCATTTTTTCATTTTTACTTCTCACTATACTCCATCTTACCGATGATCTGTATGAATTTGTGTGAAATCGAATACATTTCCTTTGTTAGTTAGAAATCAGCTGATGTTGTAACAAATTACCTTTCCAATATTAGTATTTTAACACACAGTTTATTTCTGACTCATATAACTATAATGGGTATTTATCACACCATTATTTACTAAGCAGAGGCATCATGCAATCAAGATCGTTCCATAATGGAGTTCTGCTATTTTCTATGGCTTCAGAGTCTTTCTATTCCAGAAAGACCATGGAGAGGAGTAAGAGGGAAGTTTTACACAAGGGGCTGGAAATGGCCCCAGGATAAAACCCAGTAATATGGACACATCCAACTGCCACAGAGGCTGGAGTATACTTTTGCTGGGTACCAAGGAAGAAAAAGAATGCGGTATCTGTGAACACATTGCTTTTTTTTTTTTTTTTTTTTAAACACAATGCCATGTTCCTATTTTCTTTCCATGAAATACCCTTCTTTAATCTTCTCTTGATATTTTAGTATCATTCAACACTCTACTTTTTTTTTTAATTCATTTATTTTTTATTATTATTATACTTTAAGTTCTAGGGTACATGTGCATAATGTGCAGGTTTGTTACATATGTATACTTGTGCCATGTTGGTGTGCTGCACCCATCAACTCGTCAGCACCCATCAACTCGTCATTTACATCAGGTATAACTCCCAATGCAATCCCTCCCCCCTCCCCCCTCCCCATGATAGGTCCTGGTGTGTGATGTTCCCCTTCCCGAGTCCAAGTGATCTCATTGTTCAGTTCCCACCTATGAGTGAGAACATGCGGTGCTTGGTTTTCTGTTCTTGTGATAGTTTGCTAAGAATGATGGTTTCCAGCTGCATCCATGTCCCTACAAAGGACACAAACTCATCGTTTTTTATGGCTGCATAGTATTCCATGGTGTATATGTGCCACTCTATCATTTTCATCAAGCTTATCTTTGAGTGCCTTTTATCTTCCCTAGTAAATAGCATTATTCCTTAGGTAAAGTATTGCCAGGCTTTAATTCCTCAGATCATTTACTCTATTTATTTACATGTAGTAGATATAAAATAAAAATATTTATTGAATTTGTTAATTATTAATTATTCCTCCCTAGAACCAGAATTTTGCAGGCATACCAGAGATATGTTTGTTTCAACTAATTATTTTTATATGCTTGTTAACACCAAAATAATTAGTAAAGGCAACAAATATTTAATACATCTGGAACAGAATAATCTCTTAATTATAATATGTTTTTCTCTCAGAAATGAACTGGCTACTAAACATTTTATAAGGTACTTTAAAAAGATCTCCATTCATTCTTGTTCCAGTTTTTTAATTACTTCCTGCTACTTTTGTTATCTTCAGTTAATTTAATTCTCAACATATTGCAGCAATTATTGCTGCCTACTCAAGCACATTTGTAAAATTACTACATATTATGAATATTCATACTGATATATTAAAGCTGAAGTAAAATTGTCCAGCAAAGGACTTGTACCAGAACAAACATTTGCCATTAGACTACTGTCTAGTATATGAAACAAAGTGGTTCACTCTGATAGACTAATACACACACACAGGAATATTTATATCTGCACAGTGATAACTAAAATATATCATACATGTGTCAATATTAATATATCCATTCAGAGAGTTTCAATAAAATATTATTTAGTTAATGCCATAACACTAAATTTAAATACATGTAAAATTGAGAAAATACACAAATCAAAAGCAAACAAATAATAAAACATGCCTTGAAATGTAAACAGGTAGGTGTTTTGTGAACTGTACTGAATAATTTAAACATGATT